ACAATAGTTATTACAAACGATTGTTCTATATCTATTCGTTTCATCGATTGTACGTTTAATAAGAGTGGTCCGTTCTCATCAACGGGTCGATCTATTATATCGGGCAATTGTATCGCGGCCGTTGCTAATTGCATTCGCTGACGTTAACGTTAATCAAAGCATCGAGAGGATTGTTGATGCGATTCTAAATATTTGTCGTCTCACGCTGTGCGACGTCCCAGCTATTCGGATTAAATTGATCACGCGGGACCACCTCGGGCCATTGTGCCTATATCTCGATCGTCCAGAGATCGATATCGTTCGACTTTGCGGCGAATGACGAGCGCCACGCTGGAAGATCGCCTCGATAGCGATGGACAAAGGCTATAATTCAATGTCTCCGCCGATTTCCTTATTTTCTATATTTTCTTTCCATTCGTTTCGCAGAATTCGATTGGTTCGGAAAGTTTGTCCGTATTAAGATATATATATATATATCATTTCGAGATCCTCATTCCACAATTTTCTATTGAGTAGAGATATTTTATTGTACAATATTAATTGAAAATATATTTGGTTGGGTTGTCCAATTTAATCACGATTCACGATTTCATCAAAGAAAAATATAGAAATTAGATCTAAACATAATGTAAGAGAGTTTGAGAAGTTATATATTTGCATAAAAAAAATCTGTCCATTAATAAGACATTATAGTAAAACGATAAAGAAAGATTTAAAATAAAATATAAATATCACTCTCTAAAAATAATTCGAAAATCTATTATTTAAACTGTATATTTACACCTTTCGATTATAATTCCTCCCCAAACCAATTAATATCGATAATCTCAGCACGAGGTTGCATTAACGATCAGGGGATGGAGTTTAATTAGTCGCAAGAGTTGAAAATCGTGGGTAAAAATGGCGGGGCATAAATTGGGTTTACGTACCCCTCCAAGATTTTTCCACGTATCCTCTTCTCTCGAGCATCGTCCAGCGACAATGTTTTTAATTGCGAGTCGACCGGTCGCGGCACCGATCCGGCCACCATTATCTCTAATGGCGCGCTGTTATCTAGTTGCATTAATTTGTATAATTAATACCAGGGCGTGTACACGCGGCAACCGCCGTATGGAATTATATGTTCTGCCCGATGGGATCCTATCTTCACGATCTTGGCCGCTACTTTGTAATCTCGATCGATCGATCGATCGGATTCAAGTTCGTTGCTGCATGGAAAATGGTCGCATCTGAGGTTATGCATCTATATGAGAAGAAAATTTCTGTGCGAGGGATAAATGGGTCATCGCGTTTCCCTAATTAACATTTGGACATTTGACAACAAAAGGGTGCGAAATAATTAAATTTAAAAATTGTTTATATTCATCTTATCTTTTTTTTTGAAAATAAGAAGCTAATAAAATAAGAATGTTTGTTATTGAAATGTTGTTATTCTCGTTTCTTTCATTTTATTTTTGTATTGTAAATATTAATAGAGAATCTGGTATATTAAGAGGGACGAATAATCAAGGTTTAAGAAATTATAGAAAGAAAACGAGATTTTTTGATTAATAATAGATATGTTGCAATATTTGAATATATTTCATCTTTCCAGAAATTCGTGCAAAATAGAAATATCCCAATTTATTTTTATATATATCTCACGAAATGTTAAGAATTAAATTGATGGTTATTAAGAGAAAAGAGAACAGCAATAAAAAAAAGTGATGATCAGAACACATACTCGAAACAGTATATTTGCATAAGTGCGATTAATTGCACGTGCAATTAGAAAAAATTCGATTTCTTTTAACGAGATAACGATTTCTTTCTCCGTCATAACTAGTTCTCTATGGACTCGTTAGAAACAAGCTCTCCGCTCTCTAAAAACTCTTGCCTAACACTATTATTAATATTCACCTTTGTACACGTACACATATACACACATGCGCGCGCGCGCGCGCGCGCTTCGATTAATGAATACGAAATTGAAAAAAGAAATGTTAATTTTCCAGGCATAAAATTCACACTTGTCCTTAGAAAAAAATGTACTCTACTCCTACATTATCCGTCTGATTTGTTGGAAACTGCATTCTGGAATCGATTTTATATGTCGCCAGTTATAGGGATACCGCTATGATATATTAAATCTTGCTTACGAACATTAATTTCATATGCATCGAAACTGTCCGCCTCTCTGAAGGTGCACGACGATGAATGCAACGTTGTAGAACCTGCCCCTGGTAGAAACACGCCGTCCCCTGAAATTAACAAGTTCATTTCGCAACCCGCGGTTAAGGAAGCGTACAACTCGTGACGTTTTGTTGTTTCGAAAATAGGAAGCTATCGACGAGCCGTGAAAGATTTTTACCGATCTATGATAGATTGAAGATATCCATTTAACGGAGAGTGTGCTGTTTAATAATAGCGTAGAAAATCAATTTGTTCCTTTTGCGATATTATTTATTTTTCGTGAAAACTGGACGAGCCGATAAAGAGGGATGAAAACTCATCTCGTTGAAACGATAATAACGCTGGACTTGATTGAAAAACTAAAAAGGGTTTATGGATGTTGTTTCTCTCGTGCCAAAGACACGAATTCGATAATTTATAGAAATGTATACTTTGAAGTATAATAAATAAGATAACCGTTGTAAAATGTAGAAAGATTTTTAAAAGAGATTGCTTCAAAGTTCGAGTTCATTTGAAAAATATTATAGTTTCATCAGAAATGTAATTGAAATAAAGAAATAAATAAATGTTGTTGAGACGCGCGAGAGACGATTGTAAATGATTTATGAATTTAATTCTTTCCATACTAATAGGATAATAAATACCTAAGTAACATTTACAAGAGTGTTGTAATTTTCCTTATTATCAAGAGATAATTGAAGCCCATCTCTCCTTTAATTTATTATAATTACATAACTTTGAATTTTATTGTTAAGAAAGAAAATCCATTTCGAAAGAGAGTCATAATCTTATCGTTAATTCTCGTACATTATATGCCATAAATCACAGTACTTAACAACATATAAAATTTGAATGTACAAAAATTTACAGAATGTATATCTACAGAAAGTATTAAAAAAAATATATATAATAATTTAAACTCTACTTTTTCATAAAGGGTTGGATCGATCCTATTGCAAACACGATAAATGATAAAAGAAAGAAAGAATTCTTTGATTGGTCGGATCCCCTCGCGGGGATTCCCATCGTGGCAACCCCATAGCAGAGTGACTGGCAGCACGTAATATTTCGCCGGCCGCGTCTGTGTTCGTATTTAACGGAGGAAACGTTCGGGGTTGTGAGATAGTGGCCGGTTATTTATGGGGTTAAATAAAGGAACACAGCGCGATGCCGCGATACCGGCCGCCAGTACAAATAGGTTGCAGCTCGACTGTACGGTTATCGTTGCAAGCCCTCATGATCTGCAACTTGCAACCTAAGAAGTGTATCTTTCTTTTTTTATTAAGAATTCGCGTCGAACTTCGAGCGGATTTTTAAATAGAACTTTTAATTTTAAGGAAATTAAAAAAAGAAATTCAATTTGGTAATTGAAATTTGACTGATAACTGAGTACTTGGTATATTGTAGAGAATTACTTTGAAATTTAAGAGGAGGGATTCGATTCAATCTTTTAAGAATTATCAACTTCTGATAGATGAAATTTTTAGGTGAATATGAATATTGATATATTGTCACGATTGTTGAAAATTATTCTGAGAAATTTGGAAGTTCTATCCGTGAAATGATTCTTATTTTTAGGAAATTTAAACTTCTCATTTTTGTGATTTTGAGATGATATTTCTACAGTTCTATATTGTATAAGATTTAAAATAAAAATGAAGGGGTATGTTCATAATTTTGTCTCTTTTTAATTTAGACATTTAAGTATAAACCATTGAAAAGAAACAAAATTCATCAATGGTATATATTTTCGATTTCAATGATGTGTAACTTCTTTGTTTTCTTTCTTTTGAACAGATGACGGTGGCCACGGGATGAACCAGGACGGTGAGTCGAAACATAAACATACCTTCTAAATATCTCTCTATAGAAACAAATATCGTATGTCGCAGATATATCTCTAATTCAAAATACAATATTCGCAATTGTGAACGTGCAAATTCAGATTTGATATTATTTATTATGTTTTTCAACATAATCATAGTTAATCTAACTTTTAACAAATATAAATAATTCATATTGAAATATCAAACAATCTATCCAATTTCTTGTATTTTTGTTTGTAATTAAATACAAATACTATAAACAGATCCTACTATAAAGACGGGCAATTCTTTAGAAGAAGAAGGATAATCCTTTCACTCTCTACAATTATAATTTCATAAATCCTTATACTGAAATCAACCCCCCGAGGAAAAAAATTCACGCTACGAAACGCCACGGTTCCCTGCGAGTCATCACGCAGCTTATAATTTCACGAAGTAAACCGAAAGGAACCTAACGCCCCCGGTCCCACCGTCCTTTCAAAGAAGGGTTTTCTCGCGCGTTTATCGAGGCTCTCGATCGCGCCTGCGAATCGCGCGATCCGGACGGATAGATCCGCGATCCACGTCGAGGGCCGCGGATCCGGCGTGGCAGCACAATGTTCGAGCATAATTTATGCCGATGACGTGGAAACGATTCGTTGTGTGTATGCATATACAGGGTGATTCGCAAATTCGTGTGCTCGTACGATGAGACGATGAATTTACACGTGAAAACAAGGGAGAAAATAAATGGAAAACGTTCTGTGAACGAGTTCATCAAAATGTCAAATTATGCACAATATTGGAAATGGATTTAAAAGATTCTTCTGAATTTTGTGTAAAAAAAGATATGTGAAACTTCAAATGGTAACATATCTTGAAGATAAAATAATATAAAACATGATATCCTAATACTTTCGTAATTTTTTTCCATCTTTTCTATCAATCTAAAAACATTTGTTTTCATTTCTTAATATTACTTCGACAAGGATTGATTTAACAAGGATATATGGTCACTAAATAATCGCCATATATCCATATTTAATCATGTAGACATCAATACGAATGTTCTTCTAAAAGAGCACTAATAGTCGTCAAAAAAGAGTTGAGCAATAAGGGCAATATTTTACCCCTTGAAATATGAACGTAAATTTATAAATCACCCTGTATACTCATGATACACGTGTGGCGCTTATAGTGTGCTCGCCGCGGTAGGTGGAGGTAATCACAAGTTTAAAGGGTAAACGGGCCGTAAGGTGTGAGGCCCCTCGAGCTCTCTCTCCCGAGCTGCGCTCAATATTCAACAGGTATTTACATTCGCAAATTGTTTACGTCAGCCCACGATGAAATCTGTCAGGATTTCGTTCCCTCGGCAGCTTAACAGCCTCTTCCTCCTCCTCCTCCTCATCATCCTCTTCCTACTCTTCTTGGTCACCTTTGCTCGGTTATCCCTCTCCCTGTCCTCCTCCTTCTTCAACGTTTCTCCCGCTCGTTTGGACCTCGTTCGTCTGCCCTTTTCTCGCGTGCACCCTTCCAACCGCCCCGGTAATTACATCTGGGTATTAATCAAGCGTACGTCGTGAACGAGAACCGCGAGATCTTGATTTTCGCCACTTGCCTCCACACGCGGAGGAACTCGCGGCCACACCGTAACCCCGAGCGCGGTTATTAATTTATTGGAGACGCCTGGTTAGAGTGCCTTGCCTCGATTTGATTTATGGCGTTACGATTGTGTTGCGCCGGCGCTTGTACACGTCGATTTGTATTTGTAAATCTTTTTCACACGCATTTCTGAGCTTGATTCAAGGAAGAGATTGAACAGTTAAAGTGTTATCGTTGGATTTAATGAATATTAACGGATAATCATTGGAAATTTGAAGATGAAAGAACAATTAAGGTATTACATAGGCTTAATTATTGTGACTATATATTATATATAGATTATTGTATATACTTATATAGATTTATTTTTCATAAATGGATTTGGATCTTAGGCTTTTAGGATATTATTTTTGGAATGATTTCTCTATCATCTATATGTATATAAATCTTTTTTTGAGTAATATATGGCTAATGAAAGAAATTTATAGAAGTTATGACAAACATGAAAGCATCTATTTGAGAATTACATCCAATTAATAATCTAGATCATGTCTAATCTTTTATTTTTTATCACTTTGTTCATATATTACAGATTGAATAAAATTGGGATATTATTATTTAATATTGGAAATATCTAATAGATTTATTAATTTATGAAATAGTTGAATTAGAATTTTTGATTAAATGAAAGTATTTCTGACAGTAATTCTAACAGATCTGATTTCTAAAGATATCTTCCTAAGGAAAAACCTACAATCATAAAGGAAGCAAAAGATACTTTCTGTTTACTTATATTCTCCACTTTTCATTCATTTACACTTTCACTTTATTCACGTTTTCAAATATTCCAAAGATCCACAATTCTAATGTGAGATCATTTCTCACATTACCTTCTACAAAATATACAAAATATCTTTCATGTTATTCACTCCTATAACATTCT